CATATATATATATATATATATATATATATATACAATCGAATAACATAAAAAACAAATATGTAAACAATGCGAATTACATATCTGATCTCAACTTAAAAATTGTCAAAATGACCTATGCATTGGATTTTCACTTCGCCCAAACAATTTTATTTTAGACTACTGATATCTATTGTAACGCATTGGCATGATTAAGAATCCCTAAAATTGACCTGGTTTGCCACTGTCTTTGGGAACTTTTCAAAACCAAAACAGAAATCACACACACACACATTGGAAATATCCCTCGGATCCACGGGAGAATCATTTTCCAGCAAGAATTGCGCACAAGCCCTATGCCCATTAGCCGCGGCACAGTCCAACGGTGCCCAGCGCATACTGTTTCGTGAATCCACGGCTGCACCGCATTTGAGTAGTAAATCGATGACTTTCTGGTGTCCTTTTGCCGCGGCCAGATGAATTGCCGAATTCCCGTCTTCATCCAGCTCCGATACGACACTGGGAGCTTTCCGGAGCAGGAGTCGGGCGATACTGTCGCATCCGCGAGGAGTAAGTGCGTGGCAAGCGAAAGAAAAGAAATGTGTCTAGTGAACAAAATGAACCAAAACAATACGAATTAGTAAATTCGTAAATTCGAAATTTAGTACCCAGACATTACGTAGATGTTGGGGACTATTTTCGCGATTGAATCGAAATCGGTCAGGCAATCCAGAGATACAGAGAAACTAATCACATCAGACTGGGTCAACTTAGTACTGACCAATCACAACTAAGAGCAGTTATAGCTCAATATTTTTGTGTAATCGATACCTCGTTCCTTGGTATGTTTGAACTTGACGATTATTTTGTGCCCCTATATCATGATAAAAATGCTAAATGGAAGTGGACAAATAAAATTTACTTTATACTGTATCCGCATAGTTTTCTTCTGACCGTCAGTTTCGGGGGTTGAGTTATCGTCAATGTTTAATCGGATACGTTGATCGTACATGGCCCATGATTCCCATGGTGAAAAATGCATCGCTTGGAGTACAATCTAGGCACTGAACTCGTCTCTGGTCGTAGTTACCTTTGATGACTGAGCTATCGTCCAAGTCTAAGACCAACTGTACCCTAGCAGTAGCGCGCACGAAACAGTGTGTCACCATTTGTGTTTCCCGAGTCGGATCTGGCTTAGCTGTCTCGCGCAAATCACACGGCTTCACCAACCCACCGAATAGAAGTTCGTCAGCGAGCTCGACAACATGGTTGACTAAGGTCTGCCTCATTTGAACACAGAAAGAGCGTGGGAAGGCAGGTGGCCAGTTAGGGAAAACGTGTGACCAATTGACCAATGAAGTGTGCTGAGTGGAAGTGGATTCAACCACAGCGTTTCCTTCTCAATTTAAAAGTGGCGGTTTCAAAGTGATAGTTTCCCAAATCAATCTTAAAATGGTACAGTTGTTGCCACCCTCCACACATTTTCACCCACAAATCTGTTTAGTCATCTCTCTCTTTGGTCATTGTCTTGACTTGTTCGTATTATCATCCGATCACCCGACATGCGTGTTTTGTTCTCCACGACTGATTCCATTTATTTAGCCCGCCCACCAGACTCCTTTATTCTACCCATCCCCCTCCTATTCTGGTGACCGTTGTCCCTGATCGTGATATGTCTGATTCACCCTGTCCTCTGATTATCGTATCGGTTGCTTATCTGGATTAGTCCACTGTCTCACCCATGCATCGCACTGTCCCACGTGTATAAGGGCCCGCTGACATTGTTTCACTTATCGCTTGTTCGTCTGATGGACTGATGACCTCGCTCGTTTGCACTTTGGATCTCGATTGGAACTGTTCATTCCGCCGGTTCAGGCATATCCCCGAGTAGTGCCCAGAACTGAAGTATGTTGTTCCTGTAATTGTAACGCTATATATCTGCAATAGTGCATCATTATTCGCTATTGTTTGGAGTCGAATAAACCTCTAGAACATGCGGTCTCGGCTTCTGGGGTTATGTGTCACTCAACGTTAGCCTAGATATTCGTAGTTAACATTAATAAGTGCATGATGATCTTCTTGTTCTTAAAACCATCCGCATTCGTAATCTCCTTGATCTTATAGTCACAAGAAAAAGCATCTACAGATCGGATTTTGCAAAAATACCTCGATATCACCCTGCCCCATAAACTGTCCTAACCTATTCATGCCATAAGCGTTTAGCGAGAAGTTAAAAAACTGTCCTTTTATGCATACCTGCTCAGGAAACTGGACATTACTCATTGTTATTAAATTTGTGATTGCCTGTATCCTGCCACACTGTCTATTGTGCTCCCGATGATGATTATCTCTGGTTTAAAAAACTATTTCACCTCGTTCTCCATATCTTTTAAACTCTCGTTCCGATACAGTAGAATAGATAGATTTTTCCCAGGCCTTTCGATGTTTGTGGTGCGTTTATTGACAGGATAACATGGGATCCAGTTCATTGTTACTACATTCTCAACTTATGAAAGCTGGTCAAATCCCCAAACTCGATCTAAATATCAAATCTTTCCGGCACGTACATCCCCACACAAAAACAACCGGTTCTTGGTTAATCGTACGACAATTGTTATCCATTTTCGTGTATCACTGGATCGAATTGGAAATAGAAAGTCCACCCGTTCGGTGCATAAACCGCATTTATTGACTTGAAAACTGAGATGTATCGCGTTTAATAGTCCCCTGAAAAGAAAAATTGCCACAGAGATTATACTACTCATGAGTAAACAAGTCAATGATCCACTTTTTAGGCAATCCTGTGAAACTGAGCAATTAGGCTAAACCATTTCAAGCCATTGTTTACCGGACAGCAAAGAAAGATCAAATGAGATGCGAGGAAAATTTTAAAAAGTATGAACGTCCGTTTTCAGTGTTTCAGCACATGCAAGGTGTTTCATGAGCTCAGTAAACCGAGGCCCTATGTGAAATATCTAACGCAATTAAATACACATGTCATGATGTGATTTCACCGCAATTTTTCCTCGAAGAAATCATTTGAACTAAGTCTCCTGCGTTTCCCGTTTTCCTATTTACACCGGTTCATTCTCACATTTCCAATATGATTTTCCTAAAAAATATTGTTCTTCAAATTTTGTTGAACATAAAGACATTGAAGCATTTTAGGTATTACTATGAGAGATTTATCGGTTTTCACTTTCTAATCACGTTAGACAATCCCGACTTGTTATTCGTGCCTATATAACTTGTGTTACTGAACGTTTCAAGACGATTAAAATACTCGCCAATTAAGATCTTTTCGATATCTTTCTGTGCAATGATATCATCAATTTGTTCATTTCTAGATAAAGTATGATGAATACCTTACTGAAGAAGGTTACTGTCATTTATTGTAACACATGGGCGGCGGTGGCCCGATAGTAACGTCACCAAAATGATCCCCCTAGCGGTCGTGTTTTCGAGCTCCAACACCGTCGTCTAGCTATCCTCATTATCTGATGCGTAACGGCCCGTTGATTAGTCGCCTCCCCCGTTCTGAAAATTGTATCTCGGAAGAACTTATTATTTTGAATAAGTCTTGCCAACGAATCGAAGAGCATCCTCATTCAAATGGTCGTAAAAGTGTGTTTAGCGTGAGCCTAAAGTAAGTTGAATTTTCGTCATTTTCATTGCTCTGAACATCTCTTCCTCACCAGTCGGATATTGATTATTCTCGAAGCCAGAAATCAATGTTTCACGGGTGCGGACTCTCTATCCCCACATGTGCTGAAAAAATCACAGAGTGCTGCACTCATGGTGCAGTTCCTGCTGTTACAAAACTATTCACAGCCTGAGGGAGAGGACACGACTTGTTATCCTTCCATACTGATTCCAGTCCACTGTTCAAAAGTCGCAGCGTTTCTAAACAAAAACTCGCCTTCGAAAGCCTCAGAATGGTCGAGGGTGGGTGTCTTGGGTTGCGGCTAGCCACCAGTCCCTTGCGCTTCGCGAAATGATCCCATACGATCAAGCGTCTCAAATAGCCTCTGCTGAGGAAGCCTTACCTACCGCCTTCTCGTGGCGGAGATGTTTTCCCATCAAAGTGAGGAGACAAAAGCCGACATCCGGGGTTATAACCGGATTGGTGAAACACTGGTAGTTCACCTACGAGAGTTGGCCAAAAACCCTGATTCCAAACCAACCAAGAGAAGATGTACGATTGGGTATCGAGGTATATTTGGCACCTTGGACCTTTGACCCCGTCCGAAAGGCGCATGATCCGATGACTGCGGTTTTCACACAGCCCCCCGCTGAATTGTGGGTCAAGCTTTGGCTAGCCGCAGGTTCCGATTGTGGATTCCTCAAGAAAATTCACCTGCATTGAACTGGGAAACGTTTTCATATAGAGTATTGTACCATGATTTGTCTGGCACACAGTCTGCATTCAGACGTGTGTGAATATACATATATATAAAACAAAAACTCACTGACCGTGCCAAAGTAAGCTTATTCACAAACCGCATTCATTCTATTTCAGAAATTTTCTAACGGACTCAAAATCTCAAATGAGTACAGTTGACCTTGAAATCGCTGATCGATTCTTCTATAACTGCTAGGGCGCATATTTCATGACCAAATATTTTTGCCCACAACTGAATCTCTGTATAGCTCTTTCCAATTCCCGAAGCATCCAAATCTCCTGTCTGCACCTAACGTTTTCGCGCCACAGCTTTGACATGTTCTGTCCTAAAATGGACTAAAAAAGCAATCCTCACAAAAGCCTTCAGCAAACTATGAACATTCCCAATGTGATACCCCCAGGTTGCCTACAAACCCAATGGATACAGTTTGGACGCCCGATCCACCCTTATTCATTTTAGAGATTTTAGAGTTTTTGAATGACTCTGTGCGATCTTGACATCGTGTTTCTCTTTTGAACATTCTCCAGTATTTGACTTTATTCAGCTGTCAGTATGGTTACAGAAACTGGAATCTTTTGAATGCTCCAAGCGATTGTTCCTTTGGATATCTAACGATTTGACCGACAGAGGATAAACTATCATACTTGGAAAAGTTTTGTCCAAACCCTGCAATTAAACACTTTGAAGTTGTGCACCCCACATACTTATTTTCAACGTGTATTTCTATTGTTCCAGTAAGTAGTCTAAAATGTTCACATGTGGTTATGCTATGATAATAACCTACTTCTTCCTCCTCCTCCTCCTCCTCCTACTCAATTATTTTCAAAGATTCAGTTCAGTTTCAGTTTGCACAACCATTAATAATGCACATTCGTGCGCCGGTTTTGGTTGCTATCTTTCGGCTGCCCATTTGGATGAACAGTGGGCGACATCGTTTACCTGAAACTCTGCCCTAACAGCAGCATTGCTCATCAGACTACCCCACCAGATTCGTGCAATGCTGCATAGACAGCGATGTTCGAACACCGACAGTCTATTTTTATCCTGTTCCCGTAATGGCCAAGTTTCTGTTTCATATAGCAGAACTGGTTGAACTACTGCAGCATATACTCGACCCTTCACAGACAACCGGATGTCGCGACGGCGCCATAGATGTCTCAAGTTGGCAGATAGCAACCGAGCCTTCTGTATGCGAGCTGACACTTCATCCGTGATGCCTCCACCGTGTGAGATGTAGCTGCCCAGATAACAAAACTTATTCACCTGCTCTATTACTTCCCCAGTTTGAATGGGACTAGATGCTTGACTAACCCAGTCTTGTAGTACCACTTTACACTTTGAAGGTGCAAAACGCATACCGAATATGGCTACACTGGCATTCAAGTTATCCAGAAATGCTTGCAACTTACCTGAATCTTCACTTAGTAGCACAATATCGTCTGCATACTCTAGATCAGACAGTCTGCCCCCTGGGAGTAAATCGATACCGCAATCCTCGCACGAGGATAGGGCTGTTTCCATAATCAGATCTATAACAAAGTTAAATAGAAAAGGAGGGAGAGGGCAACCCTGTCGAACACCACTTTTCGTGGTGAACTCGGGTGAAAACGTGCCGTAAGCCCGGACTCGGACTCGGCTACGAGTATAGACGGATCGTTTAATTGAAATAAACTTCAAAGATTACCAATCTGGATTCCAGTTTATCCTCTCACACTCGGGATTAAGTGTAAATCTCGGTCAATGTGCTCAGTGCTTAATGCAGTTTTTTTCACGGTCCTTGTTCCCCACAGTCTCCACAGTAATAAGTTACAATCAGTTGTCTAGGGAGAACTCTGGTCAATAGCATACTGTAACTATATAGGTAGTAAACTGTGTTGATCAATGCACATCTACAACCGTGTTGGTAAACTGCGAAAGCTCAAGCATTTTTGCGCATCCCAGTCAGTTACTTCTTCTATTGTATACCAGTTTGTGTGTGTGAGTGTGGGCTTTCCTCATCATACTTTATTGTTCGCCAGTTATTTTCACCGACAAAATCAAACAAGATTGCAAAGTCTGATGCCGCAATTTTCAGAGTATCATACAACTTCTTGTGTCACTTTTGCCGAAAGGATTCNTGGCCACCTAGTACACGGTGGTGATGCAGTGGCTTAGCAGCTGTCGTCGACATGCTTTGAACACGATGGTTCGAGTTCGAGCCCCGTCACCGCCACCCAACTTTGGTGGAAGTATCTTTGCTGTCATCCGGTTCAATAGCATGCCTAACGTAATGAGGCCTCATGTAGTTCACCATTTTTAGTCCCGCAGGGGCATAGGTTACCTAAGTTCCCATCGCTGAACAGCAGGTTCTCGTGACTATCGTGTCCGCCTCGACTCCTGTTCATCCCAGACACTAAGGTGTGTAATAAAAAATACAGAACGGACACGTTCTCGCCCCCATCCCTGCACATGCTCTGAATCCGGACAAAAGCCACCTCGTCTGAATGATGCTCGAAATTCACATCCGCTCCATTTCTTGCATGTTTGCTCACAAAAAAGGGGCGAGAAAAACAAGTGAACCTAGACTGAACTTTGAAATATCCCTTTGTTGTCTGTGAACACATTTTTAAACGGTTTAATATGTTCCGGGCGACGGTTAGCGTGTGTAATTCCTTTGTAGCTGTAATTAAAGCCCCACTACTAATAAAAGTGACACAATGCAATAGAATTAAATCGGACTTGAATTTCGGACAATTTGTTAAACATGGGTTATTGTGTGCGCTACGTATGAGAATTCACAAACCCCGGGGTCTGCGCACTGTGTTATCGCCCGGGTCACATGTTATGGAAACTAATATGTTCCGCATGTGTTAGTGTTTGTGTGTGTGAGGCTCAGTGCAGCACTGAACAGCTAATTCCACTCGTCATCATTTCTCTCCGTGACCTGTATTTGTGCCCCCTAAGCCCTAAGCAATCGATTGTGTGGGTAACGGGTGACGAGTTAGACCCACAACCCGTAAGTTCAGGGCTCGAGTACGGAAAAAAGAATAGACCAGCTGTCTATCATCTATTTTGACAGCCACAAAAAGAAGACATTTCATCGTAGGTGACAATTTGACTCTGCACAAAACTAAAAGAAGCCTAACTGCTAGGAAAACTTGTTCGTAGCTATTTGCGATTCACCAATTACGGAAGTGTTTACTCGACCGAACCAGAGATGTATCACGAATGTGATTTGCCACGTACCCGCAGGGACTAACGATCTC